AAGGAAAAGAAACTAAATGACAATATAAGCTACTCTCAAGTTAGCAAGAACAAGAGACACTCAATAGTAAGCGCTCATAGAGGAGAGGAAAAACATCCATTCAAAGGAATTTATTCACAAAATGAATCAAATTCATTTGGAGCTCAAAAAGAGGCAAGGAGGCGAGTTACAAGTAATCTATCTGACCACTCATATTCATCTGGGAAGGCTCATGCGAAGCACTCTTTCTCTAAGCATCCAAATTTAGTGGAGGCATCTTACCTTTCAAATGCAATCCATAATAATACTAATAAAGTTTTTGCTACTCCTATTGATGCTGTTGGTTTGAGCATAGGCAAATATGATGACGACTTTGAAGAGTATGGAAGTGATTTTGACAATGACACGGCTTCTGAAGCTTCTGAAGATGTAAATATTGACAAAGAACACGACAAAACTTCTTTATCTAGTCCATTAGATACTAATTTGATTCTTTCATTTCAAGAATCAAGTCTTGTCTACAAGGAGCCTGCTAGAGATAGCACTATTAAAAATTCCCTTGAACCGACACTACCTTTCGGTACATTAGAGGTAGTTTCAACTATTAAAGTAAACAATATTGAAAGTTCAACATTTGTAATAAACGATAAGGATCCTGAAGCAATGATAAATTTTTCATTTTGTTCCGACTCTCGATCTTCTGGTCAAACTTTTAAAAGAATCAAACAACGCGCAAAAATCCTTTTGAGATTAATTGAACTTGACTTTTCCGGACCAGGTACCGTCTTCGATCTTCCACCAATGGATGAATATGCTACTTACATGCTAAAGTTTGGCCGTGAAAATCGGGCTCAGATACAAGTACAGACAAATGACGATGCTCTTGAGCAAGAGGTCCAGACAGAACCTATAAAAATGTCCGAATATGGCATGTGGACTCAGCATCCAGCAATTGAAGATGGTGAAGCGTGTGGGCAGTCTATGGGTAAAGAGTAGACAATTGGTTTTGTTATGGTCACTTGGATAGTTTTGCTGGCTTATTCCTATTTTTTATTGTGCCCTGTTTTTTTGCTAGCATTGCGGCATACTTACAAAGCATAGAAGGTCCATTAGTAAATTTTAAAAATCTCTAAAGTTATCTAAAAAGTACTTTTATTGGCTTTATTTTCGAAATCTTTCTTTTAGATACTCAACAGCATGACATTACAGATGATACAGTTGAAATGGGATCTATACTTGATATTCTTAATGACTTTATTCCTTCCTCGAATTTGAAATGTTTAGTTAGAAATAAAGAACGTAATACAGAACTTTCGATGAAATCTTTACTCAAAAGAAGTAACCTAAGAGCCAATCTTGAAACTATGCTTTTTATCCTCGAAGAAGATGACGGGCCCTTAATTCCTTATCAAGCAACCTCTAATTATGGTGATAATCAGCACGGATGTTCTCAAGCGGCTCTGGCTCATTTCACTTTAGGATATACACATATATTCTCAAACTCGAAAAATATTTCTGTCCAGACGGAATTAGAGGATTATTTGTGTGTAGGATGCCAATTTGCTCCGAATAACGGGAACATATTACTCACTATGCATAAGGCAAGTTTTTTACCTCCTAGATACCACATAGTTAATGATTATTTATACTCTTATCTAAAACACTAGTACAGGAGAATATTCACGTTTTCATCGCTGTTTTTATTTATCTTATTAATTCAGGATAAGACCTTTGTTGCTCTTGATTTTGTTAAATTTGGTGTATCATTAAACCCGCTTTACTGAGAAGTATTGCCAATGTTGAGCAGTTACTTAACAAATAAAAATTGCATTTTATTGGCCTGGAAAATTTTTTTAATTAAACGAAATAAAAAGTTAGTTATATTAGTAAATTAATCAGAAAATTACAAAATGTAATGATGAAATTAGTGAAATGGTAGATTTAAACTCCATTGCTAAGACATATTTTGGCTTAAATAAGAATATAATTATTTTATCTTTTGATGCACATTTCTTTTTTACAGTTCTATACTTTCACAAATGTTATGCAATTAATATTCCTCGACACTGTATTATTTGTCTTATATTCCTTCTTAAACTACAC